ACACACCCACACCCACACCCACACCCACACCCACACATCCACACCCACATCCACACCCACGCCCCATATCCCACACCCACATCCACACCCCATACCCCACACTAGGGGTGTCAGGGTTCCGTTCCCAAGGAACGGGAACCCACTTGGTTATTCATTTCTATGCATGTTTGAATGCGCTTGAGTTCATAGACATACTTTTTCTTTCGTTTTGAGCAAGTCACTGGGGGTTCCCGGGTTCTGGGTTCCTAGGAACGGGAACCCAGTTGAAAATTCATTTCTGTGCATTTTTGAACAGACTAGAGTTCATAGACATATTTTTTCTTTCGTTTTGAGACAAGTCTCTCCGGGTTCCCGAGAATGAGAACCCGCATCGGGTTCCGGGTTCCCAGGAACGGGAACCCGCATCGGGTTCTGGGTTCCTAGGAACGGGAACCCGCCTCGGGTTCCTAAGAATGAGGAACCCTATTGCAAATCGTTCAGAATAGAAATTTAGGTGCGGTTCCCAGTTTTTGGGAACCCGGTGTGGGTTCCCGTTCCTGGGAACCCGGAACCCGGTGCGGGTTCTCGTTCCTGGGAACCCAGGAACCCGGAGAGACTTGTCTCAAAACGAAAGAAAAAGTATGTCTATGAACTCTAGTGTGTTCAAAAATGCACAGAAATGAATAACTAAATGGGTTCCCGTTCCTAGGAACCCGGTGCGGGTGCGGGTTCCCGTTCCTAGGAACGGAACCCGAAACTGACACCCCTAGCCCCACACCCACATCCACACCCACATCCACACCCACACCCACATCCACACCCATACCCACTCACACCCACACCCACCCACACCCAGTGTCCGAATATCAACAATTATGCTCACAGTGAGTTGCACTTTGGTATCAGAGTCTATTGCGTATTAAACAGACATGACGAAAGAACGATACAAACAAAGAAGATATCAAAAGCAATTTCGCTGAAAAAAATCTCTACTTTGAGGCTTTTTTTTAGCTTCTTTTATCTACTTTGGATGGGTTTTTTTCCCGTGATAAGAAGAAAAAAACCCATTCAATGATTAGTAACTAGATGGTGAATCTAAGTCCCTATGATAAAGCTTCACTCAAAGTCATGATTGATTTTTGTTACGAGCCTAATCACGAGTATATCAAGTGATACCTTGACTTAAATTTTCCGTCAGTGAAAAAGACAGCACAAAAATGAACGAACCCAGAAAAAAGTTTCTTATAAAGCATCTTTACTATGATGAAAGAGCAATGAGAGCAAACCATCTCGAGAAGTAAAAGGGTGAAAATTCGGAACACAGAAACAGTGACAGTATGTCATGAACAGTAACTTCGGCGATAAAGCAAATTAATTCTAAAAACAGATGTAAAGTATCATATGTTCATCTGGAACCCAATTCAAAAATGGGATACATACAACGCCATCCATAGCGAGGTGTTGTGATATTCGCGCATATCTCTTAGTCCTGGCAGCAGTTTACAATGAATAGGTGCTAAATAATGATGAAGTGCAAGTCTGGGAGGTGTAGTTCTAGATACTCACAGAATAAAAAGCTTTTACCACTATCCCTATACAATTAAAATTTTGAAACACGACGAAGCTGTTATTGCAAATCACAAGAATACTGTTTTATTCAGTTTATATGGGAACTCATTTTGTCGTCCTACTTCATTTAATTTTCTTTGATCGCAATAAGGAAATCGTTTATGTATTCTCATTAGAGGTTGATGATATATGATCGCTAATAGTGTACGAGAAACGCCAGCCACGATCCATGATGAGTTCGAAACAAAATGAAGAATCAGACAGACATAGAAGAAAATATTCTTTTCCAGAATCGATCCACTTCCTCAGATACGTGCATACATGATCTATCGTGTTCCAAAATAGAAGTTCTGCAAGTTTTATAGAACCATATAAGGTGTTTGTCAAGGCTTTTGTGTACAAAATTGAGTTACTTGTCAAAAACTAAGCCGCTTGGTTACATGACACTATAATCCACATACGAATAGCATGACGAAACCTTGTTTATTGGTGAGCTTTATGTTAAAACACATTAGGATTACACTATAATGGAAAATAGGATGCACAGCAGAAAGTTTGAAAGTCGAAACTCTGTGGAAAACCTACT